TCAGACGCCTTCAGCCTCGGCCGTAGACGCCTCCTCGTCGCCTTCGGGGCGCCTGGCACCTCCGTGCGAGGAGCTGGGGGCTCGCAGGCGTAGCGTGCCCCGCGGTCGCCGCCTTCCCAGGCCGAGTGGCGCTCGCAGGAGAGGAGAGAGTCCCCTTCGTGCTGCGTCTCCGCCCAGCTCCCCGGCCCAGGGGAAGGGCGTGGGGGACGTGACCACGTTGTGTGTGGTTGTATCTCCGCGCAGGTGGGCGCGCACAGGCAGACCCACCCCCGCTGAACTCAGCCCGGCAGACATCCACAGGCCACTGGTACCCTGAGCATCCCGCACCGCCTCCGGTACATCTGGGCATCCAACACCCCTCGCACAGCTCGGGCGCCCCAACCCTCGCACCAACGCACAGGCCTGCCCACCGCAGAGGACACGCTTTCCGTTAAGTGCACGCACCCCTACGCTGCGCATTTGCCCACGCACAGCCAGCCGCGTGTCCACCCGCAGTGGCTCGCGCAGCCCCTCCATTAGCGTGCACACGCGTTCTTAATTCTCTCTGGCCCTCTCTCCATCAAATTTCTTTTCTTTCCTTTCCTTTTCATTTCTTTTCTTTTCTCTTTCTTTTTCTTTTTTTTTCTTTCTTTCTTTCTTTCTTTCTTTCTTTCTTTCTTTCTTTCTTTCTTTCTTTCTTTCTTTCTTTCTGTCTTTCTGTCTTTCTTTTTTTTTTTTTTTTTTGGACCAAACAGCAGCCGCAGGCTAGGAGGCCCTAGCGGTGCGGGGAGGGAAGTTCCCAAGAAGGGGTCGCTACCGCCAGCTGCTGGGAGAACATCTGGCTTTCAGCAGAGAGGTCTGCGGGGGAGGCTGTCACACTCCCCAGCCAGCTGGGGGTGCAGCCAGCGCGAACCCAGCGGCTCCCAGAAAGCGATAGTAACGCCTCTGTTTTGCTGATGGGGCGCCTTCAAAGAGGGGGGGTCTATAGAACTTGAAATCGGGCGATGCTTTTTCCACTAGCCCCTTCCCTCCCGGGTGCTCTCCAGTTGGGAGGGGGCTGCGGATGCCATCTTTGGCCAAACCCGCCGATCATTTCCTCCCTCCTGCAAATCAGGATCTTTCACTGGCTCCTCCGGGGGCTCTTGGGGGTGTTTTGGGGTAGGGGAGCTATGCCTTCCTGGGGAGGAAGTGTGGAGTTGGGGCCCCACCTGGCCTCCACTTACCCCTCAGACTCTGACAGCAAACTGGACTCTGCAGGGAAAGCGCAGCGGTTACCTGGCCTAGGGAGAGGGGGCCGGTGGCGGGATCCTCAGGAATGTTGCAGATGGAGGCTCTCCCTAATCTCCACCCAGGAGGGAGGCGAAGGTGGGGGTGTGAGAAAGAGGGCAGATGAAATGAGCCCCCAGCTCTGTAATTTGGAGGGGACCCCCCAGTTGTAGGGAAAACCACATCCATAGCAAGGAAGGCTTTTCTGTATGCCCCGGAGACTAGCCTCTCAACTCTTACGTTGGCGGGAGAAGCCTCGCTTGACCTTGCGCTTTGGGGTGGGGAAACTGAGGCCCACTAAGGCCCTGGCCTGGATCAGCCAGCGCTGCCAGGAGAACACCTCCCCCTCTTTTCTCTCTCCCCCCCAAGACAGACCATCACTGCATTTGACCCTCCCGCAGCCGCCTCAGTGCAGGCCGAGAGTGGAGAGAATGAATTGAGAAATGCTTCTGTGGCCCCACGGCCCCTGCTTCCCAGGCGCACAGGCACAGGGACCAGTTGGGAAACTGGTGATGACAAGAGAGTAGCCGCTGTCACCGACACGGTGGTGATAACATCAGGACTTCTCGACCGCTGGCTCTCTCCAGGTGCTGATCCCAACCTTATAAACACCCCTTGGATGTTCTTAACCTTTCTAAGGGCTGTGAATCCCTTTGACAAACTATTGAAAACTGTATCCTATCCACCCTCCCCCGCTCCAAAAGACACATACCAGTGACATTCATAGAATGATGTTCAAGGTCCCACCAAACACCTGGAGCCTATCCGTGAACCTACGACCTCCCACCCATGAACCCAGGACCCAGCTTAAATGCCTCAAAGATACCTGTTTAACCTTCACAGAAGCCGCTACCAGCTCCACGTTATCCCTCCCTTTAGGGAGGTCCCCCCCCCCCCCCCCCCCCCCCCCCCCCCCCCCCCCGTCCCGCCAGGTTATTCTGAGTCCTGGGTCATCCAGCAGAGCCCAGCTGCGAATCCAGGTCTGACCACAGAACCAGGAATTAAGCCCCAGGCCACAGGGCAAGGGTCTGCAGCGGGAAAGGCAGAGAGACCCTCTCTCTGCCTGTACACCAGAGATGATCGTGGGCCACATTCCAATCCAGCATTCACCATGTAGGGATGTTGCCTAAACTATTTATGCCTTAGTTTCTTTTGGGGAGAGGTGGTTGTTGGTTGATCAGTTGGTTTTTAACGGCTTTATTGAGCTGTAACTGACACATAACATTGTGTAAAGTTAAAGTGTACAGTGTGTTGATTTGATACATTTATGTGTTGCAAAATGATCACGCAGGGGCATTAGCGGTGGCCTCTATTCTGTCACATAGTTACCATTTCTTTTGTGTGGTGAGAGCATTTAAGACCTACTTTCTTAGCAACGTTCAAGTATGTTGCAGATCGTTTTAAAATGTGAAACAGTATTATTAGATGTAATCATCATGAGGTGTAGGTTTTTCATCTAAAAAGGGGTACAAATAATGGCCGCTATTTCTCAGGGCTGTGGTGTGCATTGGGCAGTCATAGACATAGGCTGTCATAGAGACAGAAACAGAACCCCCAGGGCCCATGGGACAGGGGGAGGAAATACAGACAGGGGTGAGTGCAGCATTTTGCTCTTAGTTAGCTTAAAGATCCAGAAAGACACCCCCTCCATCCCAAATCAAATCTGCACCCCAGCTTTGGCCCCAGGAATCCTAAATTGGGGGGGGGGAGTGTAAAAACAGACACGCCTGTGCTGTGTCCCACTCCCCAAGCCCAAGGTATTTTTACTGGCTAATTGCTAAGTGAAGCCGCCCGGGGGGTGAGAGTGCGCCGTAACCCGAGCAGGGAACCAGATCCATCTCGGATTGTGCCGGGCCTGCTGAGCGGGAGGGGGCAGGGGCGAAGGCGGCAGCCGACCACCCACCGAGAGGGCAGCCGCCCTGTCCCCCACTACCCCTGCTCTGCATTAGCGTGGGGCCCCCGAGCCTCCCTCATCCCTGCTCCCTCGAACCCCTTCCGGATGATGTCCAAAGGCGACACAAGGTAGGGCAGGCTGGACCCCAGGCCCGAGGTGGGCGCTGGGCAGTCAGGAAAGCTGCCTGGCCTGGGAGAGTCAGTAGGGAGACCCGAGGGGGCAGTGGTGGGGTATGTGGGTGAAAATGTGGCCCTGGGGTTGGGGACTGTGGGGAGAAATGTGAGGGTCAGGAGAGAGTCACCCCCCCCTTCCCTGCCTTATAGGATGATTTGTGCCCAAAATACACGGGCTATTTCTCTGCAGATGCTGGATGTGCACACGTAGCGTGCCAATATGCAGGATATTGTCCAGGAGGCAAAAAAACCACAGGAATTAGGGGCATCTGGCTGCCTCAGCCGGTGGAGTACGTGGCTCTTGATCTCGGGGTCGCGAGTTGGAGCCCCATGTTGGGCACAGAGTTTACTGAAAAAGGGAAAAAAAACCCCTCGAGACATAGAGAGGGAGTAGGGTAAGAGGAGGCCCACGGAGACGTGTCCTGTGGGCACTATGGTGCCAGGCAGGTGTATGGCATAAGGTCTGTGTGCACAGAGCAGGGTGAGGGCTGCGCGTGTAACTTGTTTCCCATCTCAACGTCACAGGATGTGAGCGCGGTGCGGTAGCTCCCCGTGTAAGGAGGGCCGTAAGATTCAGTCAACAGCACTCGTTAGGCGCATAGAGTATTCGACTACGCCGTGAGCCGTTCCGCATACAGACGATTACAAGATGTGTATGACACAGCACATTACACACACACACA